CTTCGGCGACTAGCAGACAATTGGTCATCCGAGCTTTGTCAGTCAGAAAATTTTTTTTGGAAATTTTACAATTTCAGTATAACGGTTAACAACTTTTGTGACGCTATTAACAACTTCAATATAATTTTTAACAACAAGTTTTTTGAAAATTCAACAAGTTCCGGCGGCCAAAAATAAAGTTTTTGCAAATTTTTACAATTTCAGTATAACAGTTAACAACTTTTGTAACGCTATTAACAACTTCAGTATAGCGGTTAACAACAAGTTTTTTGAAAAATTCAACAAGCTCCGGTGTCCGGAAATAATTTTTTTGAAAATTTTTACAACTTCAGTATAACGGTTAACAATTTTTGTAACATTATTAACAACTCCAGTATAGTGGTTAACAACAGGTTTTTCGGAATATTCAAAAAATAATATTTTTACAACTTCAGTAATACCATTAACAAACTCAAAAACTCGTTGTTAACTATTATATCAAAGTTGTTAATAGATATACAAAAGTTGTTAACCATTATACTGAAATTGTAAAAATTTTCAAAAAAAAAATAGTTGTTAAAGTTATAAAAATGCCATTTTTTTTCGAATTTTTTAGAAAACCTGTTGTTAGATGCTATACTAAAGTTGTTGATACAGTTACAGAACTTATTAACGACATTATTAAAGTTGTAAAAATGTTACTTTTTGAAATTTTTTAAAAAACTTATTGTTAACTGTTATACTGAAGTTGTTAATAACATTATAAAAATCGTTAACCGTTATACTAAAATTATAAAAATTTTCAAAAAAAAATTGTTTCCAGTCGCCGAAGCTCTAGCGACCAATTGTTGAATTTTCCTAAAACCTGTTGTTAACCGTTATATTGAAGTTGCAAAAAATTTTCAAAAAAATTGTTTCCGGCCGTCGGAGCTCTGGCGACCAATTGTTGAATTTCTTCAAAAATCTATTGTTAACCGCTATACTAAAGTTGTTAATAGCATTATAAAAGTTGTTAACTGTTATACTGAAGTTGTAAAAATTTTCAAAAAAATGCTGGAGCTCCAGCGACCAATTGCTGAATTTCTCGAAAAACTTGTTGTTAATCGCTATATTGAAGTTGTTGATAGCGTTACAAAAATTGTTAACCATTATACTAAAGTTGTAAAAATTTTCAAAAAAATTATTTCCGGACACCAGAGCTTGTTGAATTTCCCAGGTTTTGTATTTAATTTTCTTGGATGGATTGTGTTTCAATTTTTCGAAAATCCTTTTCTCACTAAAAGGAAAAAGACATAAAAATCCTCCAAATGGACCCATACTAATTGTCGGTTTTTATACATCACCTTTGTTTTCGCGCGCGTGCTGTGCCTACTGACCCTCAGCTGCCCCCTTTTTTCTTTTTGATTTAATTCTCTCCCTCTTTCTAATAAAACTTCGTCCATTCACTTTATCTTTCTGTCTTATTTTCACATACTCACACACTCTCCCTCCCTCCCTCCCTTTTTATTTTTAATTTTATTTAATCTCTCATTTAAATAATAGTTCTGCTTTTCCAGAATTCTAAAATAATTATATAAAAATTTAAATTTTAAAATATGGTGGATACATACTTTGTATTTTACAACCTAACCTTTAAATTCCTTCTCGTCCTTTTAAAATTCCCTTCTTTTTTATGGTTTATTTTATGTTGACATGTGAACATTATTTAACCAAAAAAAGGACATGTGAAAATTATAAGCGGACTTTGATAAAGAGAGTCAGACTAAATAAAATATCCAGTTAGGTCTTTTTTAACTTCAATGACATACATTTGCTTATAATAACTTGTGTTTATAAAAGTATTTGTTTGTTTTTGTTCATTTTTTCAAAAAGTAATTCTTCTTGTACCAAAAAAGTGAATTTTCAAACCTGTTTTGCAGCTTCATTAATATTCACGGATGATAGCTTATGTTTAGAAAGCATTTTATTTTTTCTTATTTTTGATTAAATTGCTGAAACAATTATTTTAATAAACATAAAATTTAAAATAAAGATAATCTCTTAACTATTATTTTTTTCTAAAATATTTTTTATTTTAAAATAATTAATTAAAAGTTTTAGATGCAAAGCTTAGGGTGCAGATAGATTTTTCTAGATCCCCGTCAAGAGGAAAACATCTTCCTAGATGTGGCGTTCAACCCCACTTCCATTGATGTGTCCTGGGGGATCGCGTTCTTTCCAAGTTACTTGCAGACTCACTTAACTACCAATCAATCCATTGCTCCTTACAAAAGACCCAAGCATCTGCTTCATACGCCACCTTTCTTGTTCAGTCAACGAGCATCATTATATTCATGGCTCACCAAAACCCCCAGCATCATCTTCGTGATGATGATGATTCCCTGGATCCTCTCAAGCTCACAAAAATTTCTGCCATGAAGGATTTACCACATACTTCGTCAGCTCCTTCATCGCCGTTTCAGTTGCTCCGCCAGCCCCTCGCTCGCTTCGCTTCTCTTCCTGGTGGTTCTGAGCAGAACTTTTCTCAGCTTACGAAAGTTCTTAACGAAATGCTTCCTGTTTCTGATCCTCAAGTTGTTACCAAGGAGCCTGCAAAAGCATCACTTGGTACGGTTTCTTTTCACATTTCAATTTTTTCGTCTTGTCTCCTCATACCTCTTGCTATATATGGTTCTTCGCATGTATAAACAAAATCTAATCCTGGGTTGATTCTAACATAACCAACTTGCCCGAATTTGTATATATTATGCATGATCATTCAAGCATAATATGCTCAAACGGGTGATATTGGTGCCACAGAAACTCACCTCAGAGAGGCATGAGGATCGATGCACTTCCATTTCTCATATCAGTTCTGAGAGCAAAGGCATGAAGTAAAGTCTTTGGTCTTTATGAGGGATCGGGTAAGCATATATTTACAAACTACTACTTCCACTACTATTATTATTTTGAGGTACTGATACTTGGTAATGCTACAGGTTGCCAGGATTCTTTGAAGCGTATTTATTTCAAAGTGATGAGAGAAAAAGAGATGTATGCCATGCCACAGTCAGGATTCCTCCCTATTTTCTCCTTTCTCGCTCAATTTTTACTTCAAAGGATCTAGAAAACATCAGTGCAAGACACAGCTGTTCTCAGATAAAGCAAGGACTTTGACTGAAAGGCCTGCAAAAGGAGAATATGACAACTCAAGTCTCATCAGAACTGATCCTTTCTTTTGTCAGTTTACTATAATATCCTCACCGCTGTTCTGTACCTCTAATTAGTTCTTTATTCTTGGAAGCATTTGCATGTACAGGATCCAAGTTGAAGGATGAAGAGCAAGCTGGTGGAGATGTTAATGCTGCCGTAATCAATTCTAATCACTCCCGTAGTTTGTCCTCAACAAGATCTATCACAAACAGTTCTGGCGATGTTTTTACTACTCCAAATCCTTCTGTTTCTCCCGAAATCTCAGTCCAGCAAACTAATTCTTCGAGCCTAATGATACTTTCATTAATATGCCTGTGACCCATCCTCCTGCGTCATCACCGCACGAACACAACAAACTGGGCTTCATAGTTTTTCCTGTTGAACTTCTAAATGCTATAATCAGTCTTGCTGTTTCATCAAAGGAAAAAGATAACCAGGTTCTGATTTATGCTGCGGTGGGTTGTTCTACACTGGCGTTCTCCATTTCTTCAACTGCTCTTGTGCTGCATAAGAAAAGGCCTCCGATGGCGAAGAAGATGCAAAAGGCTGCGTTTCTGATCGGCACGTTTGGATTCTTGGGAATGATGGGCATGCTTTTGCCTTCAAGCATCAGTTGGTGGTTCACTCTCTCAGCCTTCCTTGTTTGCGTGCTGATGTTTGCCGTTGCAAATTTGATTGGGCCACAGGAACCTGGGTGAACTCGAACGAGTCACTTCACATGTTGCGAGTGACTATTGTCGTTGCCCTTGTCCATGCGCTACCAAAAAACATGTGACGTGCATGTGGGTCTTTCTTGGTTCTTGTCTCAGTGTGGGTTTCGTGGAGAACGCTACTTTATGAAGTCTCAAGCAAAGAAGACAATTAAAAAACAAGTCTTAGAGGTTATCATTTTCACGATAGAATTTATTATTATAGACTGTTCAAATTGTTATTGGGACTTTTTAATAATTATATCTCTTCTATGGACTTTGATTGTAATTCTCCGTTATAAATAATGCAAAGTGACGTGCATATGGACAAAAAGTGATGTCTCCATTGTTCCCTTGATCTCTTGTGATGCATCATTCTTTCATCTTTCTTTCTTTGTTTTGTTTTGTTTTTTTTTTTTTTAATTTTTCCCCCCAGAAAATGACTTATAGGACCACTGAAAGGTAGGGCTGCACAAAGACTGGACTGGACCGGGTTTGGTACCTGTCTGAAGTCTGGTCTGAAAAATGATCGGGTTGGACTTTTTGGTCCGTAGTCTTGTCCGGTCCAGTAAGACCCGGGACCAAGACCGGGTTGGACTTGGTCCACCGGGTTACTGGACCAGTCCAGGTTGATTCTACTTTTTTTTAAAAAAAAAATTAATACGTATTTACTCTGTTTTTTTTTAAAAAAAAAAACCTTTGTGACATATTTACTTTGCTGATCTTGTTGTAGATATTCTAAAATTAAACCTTTCCATTAAACCTTTCCACTAGATAAATATTAACTTATTACTATAATATGACAATAATGTGGTCTGCCCTCTGCATATAAGAAAAAAATATTAAACATGATCATATTCAGGATCCTAGAAGAGACAACATGAGGAGAAAATTAAGGGAAAACAACAAGGAACAAAAGATTTGAATAACCAAACTTGTCTTTAAATTATCATTAGTCAATATTCATTGAACCTACATATCAAAATATGTCCTTAACCTGTAGGAGTTAAAAGGTCCGTTGCCTGTACAAAAATCAAGGTGAGTCAAGCTATACACCAATCCTAATTAGCTGGACAAGCCATTCATACAAAGTCACTGTCAAGCACTAATTATCATCAGCCAACTATATGGTAATTTTAACTAACTAACCAAAAGATCAACCTGCACAATTAAACCAGTCAAAAAAATCCAGCCATGTAGTCAAAAAACAAACTATCACCATCAAGCAACCAAAAGACTTTATAGTCTAAGTCCAAAATATCTGAAACTGAAATGCTGAAAGTCATACATCCTCTCCAACATCAGTAACACTGGAATAATCTGAAAAGTATATAAAACATAAGTAGTCAATGACATTACAATAGTCATGGTAAAAATATGACATTACAATACAACATACACTAAAAAATGATTACAAACAACTGAAATTTATTTGAGCATTTATATAAAATATAAATAATCAATGGTATCACAACACATACCAGTCTTCACCACACCCTCTGTTTCCTGAAAGTTATCAAACTCTTGAAGCATGGATGTAAATTCAGAGAGAGATCTCCCGGGGAGTAGCCAATTTTGGGCACAGATAAGTGCTTCAGTCATTGTTGGTGATAGTGAACTCCTATAAGAGTCCACTATACGTCCTCCAGTGCTAAAGGCTGATTCAGAGGCCACTGTAGACACTGGCACAGCCAAGATATCACGTGCCATCCTAGAAAGTATTTTATATTTACTAGAATTGACTCTCCACCATGCTAATATATCAAAATCATCATCAACAGGGGTATCATCGGCTGAAGAAGATGAAAGATATCTATCTAATTCAGATTGTGGGTCTGAGGAGCTTTTTTCTTTCTGGGATGCCAACCATCTGCGACCTGGATCTCTACTGCCTTGGCCTTGTAGCATCGTTGATGTTGATGATCTTGGGGGTACAGAAGAAACATTGCTTGAAGTACTACTAGTTGCTTGCCCCACAGAATACTCATCAAACATGCGATACAAAACATCTCTAATCTTAATTTTCATGGCCATGCAAACTTCCACATCATGAAAAAGATGATCAAAAATATGATATACATAAGCAAGCTTGTAGCGAGGATCCAAAATCACAGCAACAATGAGCAAAGGATTCATGTTCTCTGTTTGACCCCAATATTTTTCATATTTACTTCTCATGCTAAGGGACATCTCCATAAGTAAAGGATCGGCATTCACAATGTTCTCTTCCAACAACTCATGAATTAGAGCAATTTGGTGGAAACAAGTGTTAGAAGTGACATCTAGTGAACTTGAAAACATTAGAGTTATGTCATAGAACACCTTCAAGAATTTAAGAAACATTCTTGCCTTATTCCAATCACTAGCTTTAGGAGGGCCTTCATTCCTGGAACCTCTAGCAAAGTATGCCTCATAATCATCATCTTCATCTTCCAACCGTTCAAAAGCCTTTTGAAATTTCAAAGCAGATTCCAACATCAAATATGTTGAATTCCACCGAGTATTAACATCAAGACAAACAAGGCTGGTGGTGTCCACTTTCTCTAATTCAGCAATATTCTTGAACTTTTGGAGACGAGCTGGAGAAGAACGAACATATTTAACTGCATTGCGGATTGAATCAAAGCTGTTCTTTAACTCCTTTAACCCATCATTAACCACCAAGTTAAGTATATGTGCAGAACATCTAAGATGAAGGTAGTCACCTCCACAAATCATGCCTTTCCAATTCTTAAGCCGCTTTTTCAGATATGACAAGGCAGTATCATTAGATGATGCATTGTCCATGGTTATGGTAAACACCTTCTCTATTCCCCACTCTAATAGGCACTTCTCAATGGTCTTCCCTATTGTATCGCCCCTATGATTTTCAATCATGCAGAAATTCAATATCCTCTTATGCAACTTCCAATCAGGATCAATAAAATGACAAGTCAAACACAAATAACTAAAGTTTTGAGTGGATGTCCAGCAATCAGTTGTTAAAGAAACACGATGTGCAGACTTTTTCAACACCTCTTTCAAGATCTTGATTTCTCCAAGGTATAGTTGCCAGCAATCTCTAGCAACTGTTGTCCGGGATGGAATTCGAAATCTTGGTTCTAGCTCTTTGACAAAAGTTCTAAACCCATGCTTCTCAACGATCCTAAATGGCATCTCATCACAAATAACAAATTCAGCCAATGCCCTTCTACATCGTTTTTGATTAAAAACGTGAGAGACTAAGCTTCCCCTTTGCCCACTTGGTGTCACATAGTTCAACATTGATTGCTTTGGTATTGTGTCAGCCCTGTTTGGGTTCTTGTTACATTTTGGAAAATGCCTCTTCAAAGATGTTGTGCCATGCTTATTTGGGTCACAAGCATAAATTGCATGACAATATTTGCAAGCAGCCTTAACTTCTCCATTTGTTTCTTCTAAAGGTAACTTCACAAAATGCTCCCAAACTTGTGATTTTGTGCTTTTCTTCTCAGGCTCTTTTCTCTTTCTACTCACATTGTCTCCACCTTCATCTTGTGTAATATTAGAAACAGGATCAGTAGTAGTAGTAGGAGGAGGAGGTACTGGTTCATCAGGAGGGGGCATTTCAGTTTCACCAATCCCCACTAATTGTGTTTGTGTAGACAAGGATTGATCAGTACTAGCTGAAGTTTCATCCACCATTTCTAACATGCAAAATAAATAATCATGCATTAAAGATTGAACATATAAGATAATACAACTGGAAGATAATAAAAGTAAGCATATATATCATAACAGGAAGGTCAAAGTAAACTTTGATTGAATAAATGTCTAATAAATATATATATATATTCAAAGATAGTTGGTGATAATTTGTAAGGATTGTTGAACATCGAACAAGGACAACCCATTGACTAAAGAGGACGAAGAATTAGGCAATTAGCTATATAGTGAGAGGCATTCAGCAGGCACTTATATGAAGATAGCATAGACGGGTAAACATACAGGACCATAATATCATTAAAACTTGCCCTATTGGTGTTCCAAGACCAATGATATGTAGTACTTACTGGTAGGAATTGAATATTCAATTTGGAATTTGATTAATGAGTGTTCATATAATAACTATATTTTCAACGCAGAAAAAGTTCATAATTTCATCATTACCAAAAAAAAAAATCATCATATACCTACCAAACAAATAAAGAGGGAATCATATAACAGTCATACTTAAATCCTACCTTCATCAGAAGATTAAGGCATTCAAGTTATGAGTCTTTATTAGTCATATGCTCCTAATTATCTACTGGTCCCGACTATAATGTGAGACCTTAACCTCCCCTTCAATTCACACTATCAATGCTGATTTAAATTAAAGAAACAGCTTATAAATACATATATATATATATATAATACAAATGTAATTTTTTTCACATTAGAATTGAAACTTGGGTTGCGACTTGCGACGTAGGTGAAGGAAATAACAATACAATTGGGGGGATTAATTATGCGTACACAAAGGCAATCACGACTTAAGAATCATAATCAAAAGTGGGAGATGACAAAACTGATTATAAATTGGCCGAACAAAGACAAGGCAGAAGCGGGTAGTTGCGTCCCAAAGAATAGTTTCGAACGAACCTTTTGAGGAGAAAAAGCTACTCTAATGTTGAAGAAGAAGCCAATCGAATGTTGATGGAAGCGAAGATGAACAACAAGTCGGCAGACCGCAGCAACTATGGAAGCCTCAAAGAAAAAGGAGGAAAGAGCGGCAGAATAGAAAGGTTAGGGCACACAAAAGGGAAATTGAAAACTGAAAAGGAGAAAGACGAAAAGTGTCTTGGATTATTGGATTGGGCACTTGGGCTTGGGCTCATATTTTGCATTCTATTAAGTCACATATATTTGAATATGTAATAAAATTCCACCTGGACCGGGCCAGACTATATGGTCTGATGCATCAGTCTTTAACCCGGTCTTACCCGGTATTTTGGTCTAACCCGATTGGTCTAGTCTGCTCTTCAGGTTGTTTTTTACAGACCGGGTCGGTCCGGGTTCGTCCGGGTTGGACCGGGTTGACCGGGTCCCGGGTTTTTTTGCACAGCCCTACTGAAAGGAATGAATGGCCTCGGAGGACTAATAAATTCATAAAGATAAGGTTAACGTGTTTATTATTTTTCTCTTCTATCATGATAGTATTTTAAAAAAGGAAAATTTGTAAATTTTTATAGTTTCATCTGATTTTAAATTAAGTTTATATAGTTTCTTTCTTTTTTATTATGTCCTTAATTATAGTTGCATTTGATTTTTGATCAGGTCTTTATAGTTTCTCTTTTTTTCTTACCAAGTCCTTATAATAATCATATCTCTTTTGCTTTATTATTTATTATTAATATTAATTATTCCAAATTAAGAAAATCAAATTCGTTTTAGTTTTAATTTTAATTTGAATTACTTTTGAATTATTTTTCCATTTTTATTTGTTTATGCTAATATTTACGCTGCTTTATAATTAATAGTCATTATTTTATTTTTTTTTATTTTCTGGCTCAAATTTATTCTAGTTAAAATTTTCTTATTTTATACATTTTTTGTTTAATTAATAAGTGAATTTTTTTATTTCTTTTTATTTGTTAAATTCTTAAAAAGTGTAGCAGATTATGGTTTAATTTGACGATGGTGATGTCCTCCGTGTGTTGAAAAAATAATACTATAAGATATTTTTCTTAACGAACTGAATATACTTTATCAAATGATTGTATTTGTATTGAGAAAAACAAAGCAAAATGAATGTGTATCAACAAATAATGAAAAGAAAAAGGAATGTAAAAAAATTCGAGATAAATTCTCATTTGAGAAATGTATTGGGTAATGGTCCCTCAAAGGTTTGTGAAGGATTGACGTTTTCAAGAGAAATAAATATGCTCATGAAATGATCACAATACTCTTAACGAAGATGCGTAATATATTTTGAATAGAATGAAAGATAGGTGGCATGTAAGGGAACTTAGTTGCACTTCCTTGTGCAATTGGACTTTCATACATACAAAGCATATTTCATTAAGTGCACCTGAAATTCCCTTGCATACCATGTGTCCTTCTTTGTGCAACTAAACTTCCATACCTACAAAGCATATTCCATTTAGTGTAATTAAGCTTCATTACATGCTATTTATCTTTCATTTTATATAAAATGTGTTATACACAACTAAATTTCCATATGTGCAAAGCATTTTTCCTCAAGTGTAACTAAATTTCTTTGCGTGCTTTCATTAAAGGTACTATGGTCACTTATCCTTCACAAAGTTCTAAGGACTAGTGGCCAGTGGGCTCAAATTTGCAGCTTTACAAAATTTAAACAAGCTTTTTTCTTTTTTACTACATAAAAAATTTAAACAATGTACTGTGTTGTTCATTCTCAAATGAAATTTTGAAAATAAAGGAAAGGTACGTATTACATAATCCAGGTTAAAATTATTTAAAAACAATAAATATATAAGATATATAATTTTTTCTAAATATATTATTACTTATGGAGAGAGCAAGTAAAATTTGAGTAGAAAAAATTAGAAGAGAATGTTTAATAATTTATTGAATGAGAGAAAATGTGTAATATAATCAATGTACATACACGTATTTATAATTGAGGTGAAAACGAAAAAAAAAAAATTAAATTTTCAAGTAAAAATAAAGTGAAATTTATGCATAGAACCCGCCCTTTCTTAAGACGTATAACTTATATATAGGATTCGAGGGACGGAGGAGTAATATTCAATGTGAAGGGAAGTTTGAGGAGATTTCCAAAATAAAAGAGAACTCTTTGCAATAAATAAAAATAAAACGAAGTTCAGTGCATTTGACTCTAAAATTAATCATCATATCATCACCAACCAAAGATGACCAAGTTAGGCCCTAATGTGATTATCCCCTGGAAGGAGAAAGAGCGTCTGGCGAAGAGATGGAAAAATAGATGTAGGCTTTGAACCGGAGTTGGAAACAACCACTAAAATAGCTGCTTGGATTCGGATAGCAAATTTGTCCTTGGATTACTGTGATGCAGGGATTCTTCATGTGCTAGGAACTCAGATATGGAAGGTGCTGAAAGTGGACAAGACTACGTTGAAACGCAAAAAAGTTCACTTCGCCCGTATTTGTGTTGAGTTGGATTTGAGTACACCATTGCGATCGTTTGTTCTGGTAAATGGGAAGGCAAAGAGGATTCAATACAAAGGCATGCATTTTATCTGTTTCTCATGTGGACGCTATGAGCCGATCGAGGGGACGGCGGCACCAGGCTATGAAGATGAGACGACGGCTCGCAACCAGGGATCACTACAAAAAAATTGACTTTCAGTGGCGACTCGCCGACGAAAGTTTTTTGCGGCAACAAGTCGTTGCCGTAGCAACCGTAGCTAAAAACTTTCAGTGGCGACTAAAAAGGTCGCCGCTAAAAGATACTTTCAGCGGCGACTTTTAGAAGTTTCGGCGGTGACGAAAACACTTTCAGCGGCGACAAAAAAGTCAGTGGCGACAAGAGTGTCGCCGCCGGAAGTGTTTTCTGCGGCAATTTTTTTGTCACCACTGAAAGTAACGCCTAAAAAGAATTGGCTTTACCAATGTCATATTATCACCGCCGGTGCCACGTCATCGTCTTCAGCCTCCACGTCATCACCGTCGACCGCCACATCATCACTAGCCACCTCCACATCATTGCCACATCACTCCTCGCCACGTCATCATCCAAATATTTTCACCTTAAATGTGTCTTCTTCCAGGTTCGAACTCGTGACCGCCTCCTTTTGTGTCCAACCTTCTTGCTACTGAGCCAGATTGAATTTGTTTATTAATATTGTAAAATAAAATATATATTATTATATTATACTTTCAGTGGCAACAAAAAAAGTCGTCGCTGAAGATCCACTTTCAGCGGCGACACTTTTGTCACCGCGGAAAGTCTTAGTTTCAACAGCGAACTTTCAGCGGCGACAAAAAAAGTCGTCGCTGAAGGTCCACTTTCGGCAGCAACACTTTTGTCGCTACTGAAAGTCTTGGTTTTAATAACGAGCTTTCAGCGGAGACTAAAAAAGTTGCCGCTAAAAGTCCACTTTTGGCGGCGACACTTTTGTCGCCGCTGAAAGTCTTGGTTTCAATGGCGAACTTTCAGCAGCGACTAAAATCGTCACCGCTGAAAGTCGTCGCCTAAAGTCTGTTTTTTTGTAGTGGATCCAGAAAGAAAAACCGTCGGTGAGTGTAGGACCTGTTAGACGCAGCACGGCGGCGCCAATGAAAGGTGATGAACAAAAATTTTCGAAATGGATGATAGTACAACGTCCCCGCCATAATCATCACGTTGGACCTGTGGAAGGGAAGGTGAGTAATGAAAAGCGGATTCTGCGGATGAAAAGCGGATTTTCCCCTCCCCCCGAATTAAACACGGATAAGGTATCTTTTTAATAAGAGGTTTTTACAAAAATCTAAAATTAATTTGTAATAATTTCAGAGTTTACCTGAAAATATGGTTTACACTTTTGATTTTTGAGTAAAATAAACCGACCACCTTTCTATTTTATCTCAATTATAAAAACCTCCCCTCTATTTTGAAAACATATATAAATCTTCCTTACAATTAAAATGTATGTTACACAATCCTTAAAAATATAAAGACTTCAATATTGCCTGAATAGATTATTCTTTAATTGCAG